GCTGCCGTATGACTGTGTATCCTGGAAACTTCCCTTTCTTTGCTGTTAATTTTAATTTTGGTGAGTTGTAAATCCTTCTGTGCCAGCTGCATTACCTTATATCAGCTTTTTCTGTTAGCTCAGCGTGATGTCTTCTGTGCTGACATGCTTCGTGAAACACTGCTGCTGATTATGTGCCAGGTTTGATTTCATATCAAACGGATACAGATCTGCTGTGAAGAATCAAGACACCTTCTGAAGTCTGCAAAAGAATGAATCTTCATATTGTGAATATTTTAGACATGAAAGATGACTCTGCTTATGGGAAAAGAAACAAGGGAAAGTAGCTCTAGATAAAATACTCAGTTTATATGCTCTCTTCTAGCCTGTGATACAAAAAGCTTTGTTGGCAGTTTCTTTCTGTCCTTGCAAGTGTTTTTATCTGTCTCTTTCCTGTGTGTGCTCTACCAGAAACAGTTGGTTTCCTCCTTAGCTGGTAGGTACTGGCAGTTAGAGGAAAAAACAGAACCAATATTTATCTGAACAGAAACAGTAGTTTTTCAGGGTTTTTTCCCCCACTTCTGGATCATGAATGGAAGAAAGTTGAATGCTGACAGCTCATTCCCAGCCATGCTTTAACCTTTTATTCCTTAAAGATGGTTGTGATATTTCCCTTGTGGGAATGGGAAGAGACACTTTCTCTATCCAGTACCTACAGCCCAACACCTCTCTGTACTAGACTAACCACCTGCTAAAGGTTTTCATTCCTAATACCCCTTGTTTTTTAGACTTTTATAGTTCCTGCACAATTACTTTCAGTTTTTCCCCAGATATAATTATTGAGATTATCACTACCTATTTAATTTTTCAAAGTATCCTGCAGACATTAAAAACCAAGAAGAGGAGTCGTAAAGAGATTGTAATCATTTGCTGTCAGAAGTATGCAGTGGTTGTATGAAATACAAGGAAGGGAAGAGAGAAGACATTTTAAATGGAGAAGTTTTTTAAAACTGGTATTTTCATTTCCAGCTTTGGTACAGTGACCTGCTTCATTTAATGAAATTCATTCCCATGCGTACAGTGTTAGTTTTCTTTGTTCTTTCTGCTTGTAGGATGACTCACATCTTTCCTGGAACACTGTTATGTCAAATCCACCCAGCTGTGGTGTGGCTGAGCCCACGAGCTTTAAAAGATGCACAGGCAATGGTTCTCTGGATTATTTTAAAGCATATAATTTGACACAGACTCCAGCTTTCATTTCTGTTTAAATTTCTCTGTACAGTGTATATGTCCTTGGTTTATTTTCTTCCATCTTTTATTTTATTTTTTGGTATCTGTAGTTTTGTACAATATTTGTCAGATACTGGCTTGATGGTAGTATATAGCAGTGACGTTAGCTTTTGTGTCTGTAAATAAAGAGGTATGTTTTATTTCCTAAAGTCAATGGGTAAGTCTTGGCTTTTCCATATTTCCATGATTATTTAAAATGTGACAATGGTAAGGAATCCTGCAATACAGCTCTGCTGCCAGCACAAACATACTGTGCTTTTGCCACAGCTGGTGTGGTTTTGGTTGGTTGGTTGGTTGGTTGGTTTTTTTTAGAGTGGCATTTGGTTGATCATGTATTTTCAAAGAGACAGGAGTAAATCTGTAGCCTAATAAAAGCCCTGTAAACTCTGAGACAGATGTGTGAAAGGGGCCCCAAACACAAAGCGTGCTGGGCATAGAGTGCAGCAGGGAAATTCAGATACTACATCTTCAGAAGTCTTTGTTTTAATAAATTAAGGATTGTTAAAGAGGAATAGAGATATTCATTACCAGAGCTGTCGAAGAACATGGCAATCCAAATCCTTTCTGCAATCCATAATTCAAGTGCTGGTAAGGAAGTTTCTTCTGCTTTGCCCAGAACTCTGTGGAGATGTGAGCTGACACAGATCACTCTTTGGTAGATGATGTTTCTCCCACAAGAGCTGCAAACACTGATTATTGAAATGCCTTGATTGTAGTTCAATTACTTTGTCAAAAATAAGTAACTTGGATTTATTTTTTCCCAGAACTTTTTTAGTAGTGCATTATTCTTTTGAGATGTTTGAGTACTAAGTGAATTACACTGGGATGTCTTCTTCAAGCATCTGTTTTGCAGATGCATCAGTTGAATGTGGAGACTTTGGCTCAGACTCTTCAGGATCAGTGGCTGTATGTGACACAGAGCATGGGGCTCCAGCTCGCAGCTCCTCTGGGTGATGTCATGAGGCCAGTGCTGTTGAATCCCTTCTGATAGGGGATGCCAGGAGCCTAAGATGGTGCTTTTATGCTGAGTCCACATCTCAGAGAACATTGGCTGAAGCTTTGGGTTCAGACTCAAGGGAGTTCTTTGTCTTCCCTCAGAAGGTTTGGGGCCACGTTCTGACCCGGGCAGCTGGTCTGTGACATCAGCACTGCTCCCCTGGGAACACGGGCTCACGGAGACGTGAGTAACTTCACTGAGCCCTGTGCAGAGATGGGTGCAATCAGTGATAACACACTGTTCAGCCTGCCTTTGATGTCAGTGCCATCAGACTATGTAGAGCTTGGACTGTTGTTTTCATGATCTTGGTAATTTGGGGAGTACTTTAGGTTTTGGGATATGTGTGTTTAACACAGAACTGTACAGGTGCTGAATAAGGAATGAGGATTTCCTTACGCTCAACAGCATTATTTTAAGAGGCCCAGTAGTGTCATGATTCACATTCTGATCGATATTGTAATGTGTTCCATCTTTTTTAGCAGTGTTGTACTTCAAGCCTAGCTTGTTGGAGGATTTCTCCTAATGAAAGGATTAGGTCTTGAAGATGGTGCTGGTGGGATTCCAGAAATATTTAGTTTGAAGATTTATGAAGCATGATTTTGTGGTTTTCTAATGACTGAATTTACGTGGCTTTAGAAAACCGTGTGTCTGATTGATAACCCTGAGATGAAGACCATCTGGAACGGCCACATCCTTGGGATGTTATCTTGTGCTTTCTGTCTGCTGTTGGTAGTTTCCTCTGAAGTTCCCGTCCGAGCAGGACTGAACTCAGCTGTAGCAAAAGTTGTTGTCAACACCACATCCTGCAGCGTCACCTGTGGGCTGGGCTTCAAACTGGAGGAGATGTGTGAGATCACTCCCGCTGGAGAGAGGAGGAATTGTACCTTGCTCAGGTCTGACTGCCTGACCAGTTGGGTGTGTGGCTTACTCCACTTCACCATCCCTGTGGGCAAACCCTTCCAGTTCAGCTGCCTGACCTCGGATGCAGTTGGCTTTGATAGCCAAGCCTATAGCTATACATGGAGGTTTGCCCATGGCCTCATCACCACTAATGATGTACTGTTCAACCGTTTCAAAAACCCCAGTTCTGTCATCAGCTTTTCCCCTATCAGGGAGTCTGATGCAGGTACTTACCGATGCGATATGCAGATGTTGAAGACATTCAGAATCATCAAGAGGATCTACTTTGGGGTCAGAGTGATCCCAAAAGACTTAGTGGATCTGAACTTTCAAAAATCTTTGACCTGGGAACAGAAATTAGCAGAAAACAAGGAGGAAGGAAACACAGAAAGCAGCACCCAGGAAGAAGTGGAAGAACAGCAGCACTTTTGGCAAGGAGAGTTGTTTTATGGATGCTTGGTAGCAGTTGGAAGTGGAGTGACAGGGGGTGTCTTGGTGAGCATGGCCCTCCGCTTCTTGTGGAAGATTTTAAGAAGGAGAGCTGCAAAGAAATTACCTGAGATTTAATGCAATGTCTTGTCTCTGTCTCTTTATTGTATTCACACGGTATTTTATGGTGACTCTTGTAATTTTTTGTTTTCTGGCTGACACAGTTTATTACCAAATATTTTCTTAAGCTTTGGAGTCTGGTAAGTTAGAACAGGACTGTAGCACCAGAGCTTGGGTCTTAATAGAGTAGTGCAGGTAGTAGCTCCAGATGGGGCAAGGCAGTTTGATTCTGCATTGTGTGAAATGATGGTCTGGAATGGTCCAGACAGGAACTGGAGGACACTGAGCCACAGAAACTGCCCACTGCTTGCTGTGAACTACCTCGCCATGCTGCTCTAGCTGGCCTTTATTTTATCTCTAGGTGTTTGGGGTTTTTAAATTATTATTATTTAGCTAAAAACTTGTGATCCTGGTTCCTGTATTATTTCCTTGAATTTCTTCTGCTTTGCCCAGAACTCTGTGGTGATGTGAGCTGACACAGATCACTCTTTGGGAGATGGTATTTCTCCCGTAAGGGGTGCAAAGAAGAAAGAAGGATGCTTTTGAGGTGGGCTTACAAAGCTGGTGGTGATGGTGATGGGCTGGCTGGTGTCTTTTCCATCAGATCCAAGTGGTCCAGTCTCAGCAGCTGTGGTGGGGCAGTGTGAGGATGAGGTGTGAGCCACCACTCCCTGCTTCCTCTAGAGAGATTTATCTCCTTCTGCTAGAGCCCAGAAATGTGTGAAGTATCTTCAAGCAATAGCTTGGAGCTCGCACTCTTCCCTTTGTAGTGCAGAACAGCGAAGCAGGGAGCATTGGGCAGCACAAGCAAATCTTCAGTTTGAGCACTGCTGCTTCGGAACAGAACTGAGTGATTTTAATCATGACTCAGAGCTGAGCTCATTCCTAAAAATCTTTAAAGAGGGAGGAAGGAAAGAGTTCGGTGGGCTTGTGGATCTTTCATTTTTCCTGGTGATTAATAAGTATAAAACAGGCAGCAGCTCAGCAGGGAGTATTGTTTCCCCCTTGCTAACAGAACCCACAGAGGGACCTATTAAGTACCTTCTCTTTCTACTTTATCTCTCGTTTTACAGTAAACAACTATATTTACTAAGTCTATTTCCTTTTCTTCTTTTTCTGTGAACTAAAGTACAGGAATGCACAGCACACACAATTCTGGGGAAAATAATGATGGGACTAATATTGAAGATTGAAGCATAGTATTTTTTTTTCCTTTTTTGACCAGAACAGCAACAAAAAAAAGCGCTTTAATATAGAAAGAGGTGGATATAAAAATAAACACCTTATTTGCAGAGCATCCTATATATATATATATATATATAAA